AAATAATTTTATTTATAATATTATAAAATTTTTTTATTGATTAATTAAAAAATAAAAAATTTTTATTAGTAACATATCAATTTTAAATGAAAATTTTAAAATACTATACATTTATATATAGAAATGATCTACATTACCCCCTACCCTTAAGATAATCAATAACAAGCATACAAATGATGGGAAGATCATAAGGATCAAACATAACTGAGTAGAACCAATTTGAGAATAGTACAGTGACAAAAAGATGAGAAATGTAGGAAATAAGATAATACTAGATATAGTTAGATTAAGAAACAAAAGAAACAAGACCAGGTAAACATGTGAATAGAACATATGGATACAATTTACAGAAGACAGTATCCTTGACATTTGGAATACCATATTAAGTTTGATAGGTATCCTTGTCTGTGTAGCAATTTAATGATATGTCCTGACTACAAGTAGTTGTTAAGATAACTGCATATAAGCATGCAGCAGACATGCACTTAGGTGCCATATAGGTAACTAGGTGAAGTCAGTGATGTAAAATTAGATAGTATATAGTACTAGTAATAATTGATTCTAAATGTAACCATAAATTTGTACTATATCAAATTAAAGCTAATAAACCAATTGGCATTATCACCAAAGTTCAAAAAATAAAAAAAAATAGTATATATAACCCTAAAAGTATAGTTTAAAATAACATTCGTTAGATTTAATATTATTAATAAGCTTCTTAATTTATTTTATAAAATATGATGTATCAGAAGTGACGATACGTACAACCTATACAAATAAATAAACAAATATATATGTTGTGCCTCAGATCGATTCCTGCCTCAGGTGTCAATCGGCCTAATTAGAGTTAGAGAGTAACGGTAAGGATTAGAGTATAGTTTAGGCCAATTAATGTCGATCAGTTAATGCCGGCCAAACAGTCAACAATACTAAACCTTTTGACCAACTGGTCTGGTCAAGCTTGACCATTAACTGGTCCATGCCAACCCTGATTATAATGTTTCTGCAGGTAGTACAAACAGTAGTGGGATATGATAAATGTGATCATGTAGAAATGTGATATAAGGGGTTCACGCTTCTTACGCTTCTTCAATTTACCCGAAAATTTTTCCTGCCAGATAAATCAAAAATATTTTAAAGACAAAGCGAAAGTATAAAGATAAACAGTTGAGTAGTTAAATATCGCTAGTCTAATATGGCTAAAGTTCTTTGATTCAACTTTCCTGCGTGGTTCTTAAATATTCTAAATCAACCTTAACATCAATTCTGTATCCCGATAATTGATTATATGTATGTTACGTTACACCACGCAAACGGTCATTCTTTGGTACGCACGTCTTTCGCTGGGTAAATTAGCAAAGCCCTAAAAATTTGTTCTACTACTTACTTTATTATCATCCTCATGGGTATACCGGGGTTCTTTCGATGGCTGTCTTTGCGGTATCCTCATATAGTTGAAGCAGTAAAGAAAACATCCAGAAGTAAAACTGATTTCTTGTACCTAGATATAAACGCCTTATTTCATGTTGCGTTTAGAAGTATGGAAAAAAAGGCATCAAAATCAAATTTTACATCCCGTCGTATGTTATCAAGAGTCTTTAAGGAAATGGACGTTGCTTTCAATGTTTGTGATCCTCAAGTGCTAGTGTATATTGCAATGGATGGTGTTGCACCTAGAGCGAAAATGAATGAACAACGATCACGAAGATTCTTATCTCGGGAAGGATCTCGCATAACAGAAGAAAACGATACACATTTTGAAGATTCATCTGCTAAATCTGAGCAATCGCAATTAACTGCTCGTGTAAAAAACTCTTCAGGATTCTTTGTCCCCGTAGACAGTGCATCGATATCATCAGGAACCGAATTCATGCAAGCTGCAAACGATGCTATTAGATTTTATATATACCAACGTTTGAACGGCAAACTCAAAAATCTTCAAATAATACTTGATGATTCCAGTGTGGCTGGTGAAGGCGAACATAAACTTTTCCGATTTTTAACTGCGCAACGTAATCATCCGGGATATAACACCAAGTATCGACATGTCGTTTGCGGTTGTGATGCCGACTTTATCATGTACGCTCTACTTACACACGAGCCTAATTTGCGTATATTACGTCCTGGCTTAAAGGGCAATGATGTCATTCTTAATATCAACAGACTTCGTAAACATATAATTCGTGATATGGTAGTGCAAGTAACATCAGATATTAAAGAAGACAACATTATCGATGACTTTGTTTGCATTGCTAATTTGCTTGGCAATGATTTTATTCCACGGATTAAATCTCTAGGAGAGACACGTGTTGATATTTTATTTCAAGCTTATCAAACATATTTTAGTCAAGCTAAATCTTATATTACTAACAAAGGTAAAATAAACATCACTAATTTCCTTAAATTTTTTGAGCATCTAAAGTCAAAACCTGATCGTTCAAGGAGAAGTTTTGATCTTATGTCTGAGGAGAAAAACATCTCAGAAATAGCAAAGAGAGCAAATGACTATGTAAAGACAATTTGTTGGGTATTTCAATATTATAATGGTGATTGTCCAAGTTGGAGACATTTCTATCCACATCATAGACCACCATCCATTCAGGACATATTAAAGCATGTAAAGGCAGCAAATTTTGATCAAACTTTCATCCCAGACACCCCAATACGACCTTTCGAACAATTGATGTGCATACTTCCACCTAAATGCAATTATCTTGTTCCAGAACCTTTCCGACCTTTATTTACTGATCCACAGTCTCCAATTTATGAATTCTTTCCGAAAAAATTCAAGATATCTAATAACAAGGCTATCCTACCATTTGTTGATGAAGCGCGTTTGATGCAAGCCATGGCATCAGGATATGCTTTATTAAAAAAGGAAGATATCGAAAGAAATTCTATAAATGGAAGGGTTCATATTTATGCTGGATGTCAGTCATCAACTTATACGACCTTAATTCCCCTTTGTAAAAGTAAAGGCGGTAGGTCTGCTTTCCCTGTAACTTCGGTAGTATTTGGACAATTATCTTATTGTGGGCCAAAGTTAAAGTTCATCAAGGCACCTGTTGATGAATTTAACAAAATAAATCATAACTCGGTTGCTACTGCAGAGTATCAATTACCAGGTAAGTTAATAGAAGCAACTGACTGTGCGGCATTAAGTCAATTAAAGAGTGCCACCAACAATTTACAACAAAATATGCCATCATCCTTGTACCAGCAAAGACAAGCCCTCACTACTAAACCATACAAGCGAAGAATTACATATACTAGCTAATTGTTTAAAAGAAGATTTAAAAATACATGGAACTTATCAAATACTAATAATACTTAATAAAATAGGTTTAATACTAAAAGGTTGTGCGTACTTGAATAATTAATTAAACTATTATAACTATATTAGCCAATTTGTAATTATTATAATGTCAATTTTTTTTTAGATTTAAAAATAGAAAAAGTAAATTTTGATAGATATGTATAGTTTTTATAGTTGTGTATTTATTGGTTAAATAAGTTAATATATATATAGTATTTAACTTTTTTTAGAAAAATACAGTATCAGATATAAACCATCTTTTTTAAAGTGTTGTTTATAATAAAAATTATAGTAAAAACATAAATTTTATTATAGATTTTGAGTTGAAGATTTTTTTAAATTTTTTTTTTAAAAAAGCTTAAGCAGTTATGTTAGTATTTTATTAAAAATTTTGGAATTCTTTTTATAATTATATTAAGATATCTAATATCTAAGTTTAATATTATTTAATTACTTTAATAATATCTAAATGTAACTTGATACATTACTTTAAACAGAAGTAAATTGGGTTGTTTTTTTTTAAGTGATATCTTTGTTCATTTGACTTTTATTAATGTTTTTTTGGTAATGTAATTCTATAAACTACTATAGAAAAGCATACAATTGGTTATATGTGTAACTTTTCTATATTCTCTATTTAAAAAGTTTATTCAAAAGTTTCTTACTAATTGTTATATCTAACATCATAGCTTAAATGTTCTACTTTAAACATTTTGAACCTGCAATCTATATTAATATTATTGGGTTATACTCAGATGTTCAGATCATCATCTCAATCTTAAAACTATTTTATCTTTAAGGTAAACCTTTCAAAACCTTCTGTATCTATTTTTACAACTAATCTAGATATTATTATAATAAAACCAATACTTACATCAGAGTTATATCCTTTAACTACTATACTCTTATAGAGTTCACTCAAACTTTAGCATCTATTTTATAGCATAATTCTAGTACTTTAGTATACTTCTGTTTTATATTTAGACTTCTAATCCAAATAATTTGTATAGAATTACAATCAGTTCATCAATATATTAGATTGACCTGATATTCTTTTTTTTTAGTTCATTCTGACAATCTGGTTAGTGATATTTTCAAGTCTTTTTCAACCCAAAGGTTTTTGCCTATCTGAGTATTACAATCTTAGTATTCATTTTTTTAAACTTGTCTTTACTATAGCATCATTGAATATCTAGCTACCTCTCTGCTTAGGTCTTTCCAAATAGATTTTTTGTTACTTAATTTTAATAGATTTATATAGTCACAAGGATTTATTTAATATTTGTACTGTCTGATTGTTAGTTTGCATTTTTTTGTATTACTATACAGATGATTTATAATTTGCTAGTCATGCTATTACAATTATTATTACAAGTATCCTAACCCAATCATTGGTAACAGTTATTATAATATAAATATTATATAGATAATTATCTAAATTTTTGTTATTAATAGAATTTGAATATCCAACAATCTAACTATTTCACTAGATTGTCATATCTTAGAAACAAATTGTTTTTCTAACTATTTAAAGTATATATATAATAAAAAAATCTTTTTTTTTAATTAAAGTCTTTATCTTTACAAAATGACATTTTTATTTAAGTTTTTGTAGAATACATTTAAGATTACAACTAGTCATATATGCACTTTTAGTGTTTAATTTAAGTAATGCATCTATACTAGATGTCATATCTGCAAACCAATTACAGATTTTGCTTATTTAAATTTTTTGTATATACAATTCTCTTGTATTATAAGAACATCTTTAGAGTATCATTTATTTAAGTTTCTGATACTAATCAGTATTTTTAGAACTACTTTATTCTTAACAAAAGACTTACTAAAGTCTGTTATGTTTTATATATATTAATTTAGTTTTATACAATATGTTATAATTATTTAACACTTATAATTATAGAAGTTACTTATTTAATTGCTATATTATATTATTTCTATTTTTATAAAGTTTATTAGGATTTTAGTATTTATTTTTCTAATATCTTTTTTATCATCTTTTACTAACTATAATTTAGAATTGACAGAATTCTTCAAACTTCTAATTTAAATAGTTTAGTATAGTATACTTTAGTATTTTTTTTCTTTAGTGATTCTAATAATCTAGTTAGTTATATGTTTTCTATACATCTTTGGCATCTGGTTTATCTGTCTATTTCTATAAAAGTATTTTGTAAGCTTTAGCTAGTTCAATAGTACTATTAAAAATCTATGCTATTTTTTTATTTAAGAATTTTCAAGTAGGTTTTCAGTTTTTTAGTTTTTTAGTTTTTTATATCTAGTAGTCTTATTATGAATTTGTATTAAAGTCTTATATAATACTAGTTAGTAATATTCTTTTATATATATATAATATTATACTTCATATAGATATTCTAAACTTCTAATTATAGATAAAATCTAACTTAGTGTACTTGGATTATAGTCATATAAGGTTAACTAATTAACAAAAGACAATTATTATAATACAGATTTATTTTCAAATTTTATTATAGATAAGATTTGAATATTAGACTTATTACTTAGAAAATAACAACTTAACTACTATACTAAGATCATTATTTCTTTTTTTTATAACAAGTTTTAATAATATTTTTTTTTTGCTTATTTTTTTATCCTTTTTATTATTTATTAATTTATTTTTTTTCTTTATTAAATTTTTTCTTCTTTAGATATTTCTTTTTATCTTATTATTTTTTTTCTATTTATTAGTTTTTTTTTTTATGTTAAAGTTTTTGTTTTCAATAAAAAATTTTATTCAAGTTTATAAGACATTAGTGCCTTTAAGAACATCTTTATATAGAAGATTACAGCTAGTTATACATATATTTTTAATATTTAATTTAAATAATTTATTTATATATTGCTATATAAGTTTTATACTAGATGTTATATCTGCAAATAATAATTTAAGCTAAAAAAATTTTTTAATTAGTTAACTAAACTGAAATTTTTTATGTTAACCAATTTAATTAGTTAAGATTACTTTATATTTTATTTTTTTAAGTCTTAGAATTTTATTTAAATTTTTGTTTTGTTTTTTTTTTTTTTTTAAAGTGATCTCTTTGGTCTTTTAACTTTTATTAATCACTTATCAGTATTGTGGTTCAATGAACCACTACAGGAAAGCATACAATTGGCTACATGTGTAAC